TAGAACAGCTAAAAATTAGCTAATTATCATGCAAATTAGCTAATTAACGAGCATGGATTTTTACCAAAACCTAATCAAATCTGCGCATTGGCCCAGAGCATCTATGCACCAAGTTTCATCAAAAACCGATGTATGGTTCTTGAGATAGCAGTGGAACAGTCGGACACACATACACACACCCACACACACACATACATACAGACACACTAACTGCAAAGACTCCCATTTTGTGCTTCACACATGGGAGTCAAAAAGCATGTCACATGACTGAGTGCTGATTGAGAAAATTGTTACCTGTTTGTATCTCTGGCGACGTCCTCATAAACACTCTGGACACCAATCTCCAGTCTGGTACAACCATAGTTTAACATATCACTGTTGTAGATTAATTAATAATAATACAGAAATCGTTGAATCGATCATATGAACTAAATAGAATGCTAAAAGTTATCATGGTATAGCGTCACTGTCATCAGAACGGCTATGTGCATAGGAAGGGCTCACATAAAAATGAATGTTCACGTACTGATAATGGCCAATTTTTAGAGATAAACTGAAAGAAAGTTATGTATTCTCATGCAATCTAGTAAATTCAAACATTAGTCAACAATAAGTGTTTATCAAACCCCTAAACAAAACTAAAAAAGAAAATGAAACTATTTACCTCAGATGTTTCTTCAAACAATAATCAGGTCTGGTTTCTATGGTGATACCGATACATTTTGTCTTGCTCTTTTCAGAATACCTGCAACAAACCCAACCAATACCAGTCACTAATAGCATTAGACTCATGATCAGTAGAGCCAAATTCAAATCCAACATTGAGATTTAACACTGAAAAGAGGTCATTTCCTACTCTGCGTGATTGTGCCACAGACTCAATGTAGAGCCATTGGTTAAGATTCATTTACTAATAAATTGAATAGAACCATGGCTTAGGTCAACAGGTGGACAGGTGGTTGTTGGATGGGAGTATCAGCAGAGGCATAAGAAATACATAATACATGTAACACTGGCAGAAAAAAGCTTAAATATGAGTTCAGCACCAGTGAAAAGCCGCTACAGATTTTGTATGCTGCATGGTTCGAAAACATGTATTATGTATATTATTATGTCATTTTACATGGCCCAAGGGCAACTTATGCCGATGTACCAAACGACCACATCAGGTGGACAGTGCATTAAATTGCCATAATGTCATTATAAAGATAATCAAAAAGAAACATACGGTTCTTGCGGCAAATTGCATCTGTCCGTTTATTGATTAAATGTTTCATGCTTGGTTACTTACTTGACTGCTTCTGCTACATTGTTACTTGTATGACCGGACAGAGCATCATGTAAATTTCTAATAAAATAGTCCCTATATTCTTCCCCTAGACACATGAATGTACCGCCCATTACAATGAACTCCACCTTGTCAACACTGTGACCAATCTGCTTCAGCTAAAAATGATAATATTAAAATATATTTGTAGACTCTCATTCGTCAAAATTTCAATTGAAACCAGGTTACAAGGCAGTAGAATATTTGAATAAATATTGATTCTATAGATACATGTTATACAGCTATCCACCCTTGAAAAGCATAAACTTCACCTGTTCAAATCTCATGTGTCTTATTTGTGAAAATGAATTGTATCATAGTAGTACATGCATGCCCCTATTTATCCGCTCTTGGTGGGTGTAAACTATAAATACCTGCTCAACTCTGTGTCTTGTCTGTAAATATGGATTATATCTGGCTCGTATAGCTCTCATCGATGTCGGCTGTCAACACAATAGATTATAATAGGGTAATTAATGTCCATGACATTAATTACAAAATATAATATCAAAATAATAATAATAATAATTTACCGTTAGATCGAACATTAGAGTACTGTTGCTAGGTTGACAGAAAACGTTTATTTATTCACTGATCACTTTTTCCCCTTTTTGAGTGAACTATATTGAATATTGCCCCTCCCCTTTCCTTCTGCCCCACTCATACAACTGAGAGACTTACTTCATACCCTGTATAGGACTGTGTTGAGTATTCAAAATCAGAATCAGGTCCACCAGGGCAATAAACACAGATATTGCCCGTCATATTGATATGTGGACATCTATGGGGCTTACACATGACAGCAACAACAGCAATCTAAAATAAAATAAAACAAAACAAAAACAAAACATTATTAAGGTCATTCACGGGAATTAGAACGAATATTCAGATTTCCATGATTTTTAAGGTATTATTTTATGTTGTTAATCACAAAAATCGCATAAAAATAGACGATTACTGAACTACTTTTCAGAAAGGAATGGCCAAAAAACCATGATAATTGTGATATTTGAGCCATTTTAACATTGGTTTCTATGGGAACAACATCTCATCATATCTGAAAATAATGCTCAGTGACATACATGTGTATAAGTTGTTATAAGTTGGGTAAATCTGGTTGCCATAATTAATTAGGAGATTCTGGTAAATATTTTTTTTTATTTTTTCACGAAATAATGGATTCTTATAGAATTTGTTCCTAACATTTTTGGCCATGATATTGTTGAAAAAAAAAATTATTTGCACTGGGTAAAAACACTCAAAAAGCTGTGGCATATCTCCAAAGTTATAATTAAGTAGCACTTTTAAAACAAAACATATTGTGATACAATTTTCATTCTATTTGATAGATTGAAATATCAGTGAATGACTTTAATCTAGACAACTTTTACAGTCTTGTGTGTTTTGTGTTAAGATCATATGTGTCATTCTTTGATAGATATTCATGCCATCAGAGTTGCTCCCCAACCTTATTTTAATCCAAGGCTCTGTTCACATTTAATTCTGATCGTCAGTTCACATCACTTCTAGGAGTAAATTCGACTAAGCTGCAAATCATGTTCAGGCAACCTCATTTCTGGAGGATTCATCAACCAATTAGAAAATGACGTGTACGAAAAATACTTATTGATTGGTGTTCCATGGTGAAATGGACAAGATTTGGATTTGTCATGTGGTACAGTCAGAGGTGATGTATAAATGTATTAAACTCATATTACTCACTCCACTTGCAGTTCTCACTGGCTTGGCTTTGAGTTTTGGTAACAAAGCCTAGAAAGGAAAATGAATAATGAAAAAGTGAACTGTTTATTACATTTCAGTTTTGTAAGATTATAGCACAACTACAGTGATACTGAGACACGGATTTGCAAAACAAGACTACATATTTTTCAAGACTTTTACAGGTAAGCCAAAAATCACCATTAATGTTTACTTGATCATTCACATACAACTTATAACTATTTTGACCATAAACATACCTCCGTTATTTATGTAAGTGGATGTGCTAATAATAGTGCAAATATCACATGTATGCGCATGTATGCTAGCTCAAGAGTAGATGCTGGAGACAGTAGCAGATGTATCAGTGAGGAGGTACCAAAACAACAAGACTACTATTGCCCATCGCTCTCAAACTAGAATCAGTTGTATGATTTTAGAGAAAAGCCGGCTATTTTATTTAAATCAGATGATTTATGAAAATCAATTTTCAAAGCTACTTGGTGAGTAATAATTGTCAAATACCTTGAAACTCTTTGGTCTCTGTAATCAGAAAACATGATTAACGGAGCAAATACAGTAATTACCTTTTTATAAGCAGGTGGTACAGCAGCTATGATATCCACTAGTCTTGGTTGGTTTGAAAGACCATATTTACTGGATATTTTATTCTTTACCCTTGAAATATACAAACAAGAACTCAATAAATATATTTATATTCCTAACATGGCTGAGTAGGTTCAACCAATTATCCAAATATTCTCTATTGACTGACAATTGAACACTATTACAACTGACTGTGGTTTTCGATTGAGTGAAAATCAGGTAAAATTTTTAACAAGCGATTTACAGGTATACACATTATACTAACTAGCAATCCATAAGTACATCTTGCTACTAACTAGCAATTCATTGACTACATACTTGTTACCTACTAGCAATTCAGCAACTATTAGCAACTACAGACTAGCAAGTCACAGAATAAAATTACTAACTAGCAACATACCTGTTCAAGTTGATGTCTTTATTCTGTTCATGTGCATCTATTAACTGTTTTACAATCTCTGCCACAGTCATGGCCATTAACTCAGCATGGGATGCCTGTGGAACTGAAACACAGTCACACAATACAATTTAAAATGAGAATTGAGGGCAGAATATTATGAGGTTATTCAGACGACATTCTGACTGAATGAATTTTTCCAGGGGGATTTATCTGTTCTGCTGTGTGGGAATCACAACTGTCAAAGCAATTTTATCAACAATATTGTACAATGTAGTTGATAAAAGACCCTATGATCACCAAAATAAGCTAATAGTTGAAAATTAATTGCTGAAATCAAGACTTAATGTTCACCATTAAAAAAAAATTCAGACTTAACACTGGATTTGCAACTTCAGCAATATTATAATCAAGTAAATCATTTTTATTTTATTTACAAAAAAAAATTAAATTAAATGAAATCGGATAACTATATTCTACATTTATGTAGAAATAATAAATCTCTCACTGAAATAAACCTGAGGTAGGCTAATTGAACAATTTTAATCACAAAGTAAAACAGGCTGTAAATAACATGTTTCAGTATCCAGAAATATAACTTTGTGTGGAAATACTCGCTGTTACGGCACGCCTGATTGGCTGAAAATGAGTATGAGCACTTGATTTACCCAGAACTCTGTGCGAATCTCCCTTGATTCTGGCTGCTGGCCATTTTCGTTCATGAAATCGTCGGATACTAGTATCATCAGAAAACGCGTGATTTGTGCAGTTTTGAATAAAACCAAGTTAGCGATTATGAACAATGGTTATTAACCTAACACCTGATCCCCTCTAAAATTTTTGTTTTTCATTTTAAGGTAAGAAATCGAAATTTGAAACCGACAGGGTGTCGATTTACTAGATGCCATGTTTCACAACTTGTTTATTTATATACGTATAGCGTATGATTTTTTTAAAAAAAAATTAGTATTTATTGATGTTCAGCCCCCAAGTGACTGTGTGTGCTACCTATAAGCTGTCGTATTAGCCGTGGTTCCCGACGTTTAGGGTTCAAATACGCTGCGAGTTTTTGTCTGTCGGTGTGTTATGGGCCGTGTAAACCGACAAACGACGACAAGGACCCTATTCTGATCCCAATCGCATCGACGCTGCTGTGTGCACCAACAGATCGACGAAGCAAAAGAACCTATCCGGACCCCCAAGACGCCTCGAAACCACGGCTACTATCGGACTGATGTGCTGTCTATTTTTAGTCCAAGATCCTACCTTTCTTACGGTTCTTCCCCATCGTAATTAGCTGCTGCTGCTTTTACTCAGTGATGCTACAAAGAAATGGGTTCCAGCAATTTAACTCGAGATTAAATTGTCACAGCACATGTGAAATGATCGTTCGTTCAAAGCCATTTTGGATAGTGCGCCCTCTGACGGGGAAAACCCTTTTACACTCGTTTTTACAAATTCTGTCTAGGTTAAAGGGCGGTAGTCGTCGCGCTGCGCATGTGCGAAATTTAGTGTTGATAAACATTGATTTTCCCACAATCCAATGGGATCTTCTAACGGAAATCACAAGTATGAGGTTTAACCTGGGCATGACTTGCACTGATTTAATACCGCCTGCGACTCCTTCGATACCTTCAAATCACCTAAAAAATACCTCATTAAAGTTTGTTAACGTCTCAGTTTATACTGATTGATCTGCGCTACAGTTGAAGTCGCCATCTTTGTATATATGAGGCCCATACATGTATATCTCGCCCATGTGTGGCACTACAACTACCGCCATTTTAAATAAGTAATGTATTACCTGGTAAGGTAGAAGCCTACTCATAATTTTAAAGAAAGTTGGTCATAAATGGCATGACAGTTTTCTTTGGTGTATAATGTAAAATCATGAAGTTATTATTTCATAGCACCATGAAGTAACATTCTTCTGTGTGTTGCAGTCCTAATAATTTTCAAAAATCGCTGTTTTTAGAACAATTAGAGCACAATGTTAATAAGAAAATGCATTTTTTGCCATTTTTTAAAACCCAGATTTGTTAAATAATTGAAAACAAAAAGTACCCCATCATTCACAATATAAACATTTATATTTATATAGCCTACAATTTGAGATATATAACGTTATTTGCAACGTTTTCAGTGTTACAAATTGACACTAATGACACAGGTTTTTTATTAAAAATAATCTAAGAAATCCTAGAACTCCTGTGTGCTGAAGATATTAGAGGCATGAAGTTAGCACACATGCTTCTATTAGAGCAAATACAGCATTTAATCAAAGAAAGCTTAGAAAGAACTCTCATGTGCTGAGAGTATTAGAGACACAATAAAAATAATTCGAAATTACTTGTACTCGAGATATTGATGGAAAAGCTGAAAACTAATTATGCAAATCAGAAAATTAATATAAACAGATTTGAGTGTAAAACTAATGAGGTCTGCACAGTGTAACAAATCATCTATGTACCAAGTTTTATTGAAATGTGATTAAAACCACAAAATTATGAATTATAATGCTAATTAGGGAATTAATATCAACAGATTTTAACCCCAAACTAATCAGGTTTGTACATTGTCTAATTTAAAACCTTTATTTCAACCCAAAACTAATCAGGGTTACTCCAGAGCATCTATGTACCATGTTTCATTGAAATCTGTTGAATGGTAGATGAGAAACAAGTGAACATGCTTAAAGTTGGCTAATTAATGTGCAAATTAGGTGATTAATATGCAAAGATTTTTACCCCAAACTAATAATGCCTGTCCTGGAGCATCTATGTACCAAGTTTCATTGAAATCTAATAATTAGTACTTGAAATTAGTACTTGCTGAAAAGCAAAAAAAATACTAATTATACAAATTATGTAATTAATATGCATGAATATTAACCAGGTCTGTGAATTGTCCTATGACATCTATGTGCAAAGTTTAATTGCAATGTCATAATTAATACTTCAGATAGTGAAAAAGCCGAAAATTGACTAATCATTATGCAAATTAGGCAATTAGTATGCACAGATTTAAACCAAAACCTGATCAAATCTGCACATTAGCCCAAAGTGTCTATGCATCAAGTTTCATAAAAACTAACATATGGTTCATGAGATATAAGTGGTGAAGACGCGCGCGCGCGCGCGCGCACACACACGCACGCACACACGCACGCACACACGCACGCACCAAAAGACCCCCGTTGTGTGCTTCACAGATTTTAACACCAAACTAATCAGGTTTGTACATTGTCCTAGAGCATATTTGTACTAAGTTTCATTGAAATGGAATAATTTGTACTTTAGATATCAGTGTGATAGCTTAAAATTGGTTAGGTAATTAATATGTACAGATTTTAACCCACAATTAATTAGGTCTGTCTATTGTCCTACAGCATCCATGTACAACGTTTCATTTGAATGTGATGATTAGTACTTGAGATATCAGTGTGAAAGTTGAAAATTGGTTAATTATGCAAATTAGGTGATTAATATGCACAATTATTTACCCTGAAACTAATCAGGTCTCTGCATAGTCCTAGAAGATCTATGTACTAAGTTTCATTGAAATGTGATGATTAGTACTTGAGATATCCATGGAAAAGCTGAAAATTAACTAATTATGCAAATTAGGTGATTAATATGCACAAATATTTATCCCAAAACAATCAGTTTCTGCATAGACTGAGTATCTATGTACCAAGTTTCATTGAAATGTAATGCTTACTACTTAAAATATCAAAAGCTGAAAATTTATTAATTCTGCAAATTAGGTAATTAATACAATATCAGTCAATTCATATTTCATATCCAATCTCTGATATAAGCAGATAAGAATCTATATTTTAAAAATAATTTCAAATTTCCCAGAAATAAATTATAAATCTTTGAAAAAAAAAATGATATGCAACATTTAAAAACATTTAACCTTGATTATATACAAACAAGGAAATACTGTTACATGCTTGTGAAGGGAAATTTGACACTAAAATCATGCAGTGAAAAAAGTTTAATAAATATTACCCCCGGTACCAATAATTTATAAGATTAAAGCGGGAGGGTCGTCACCTGCGCACACACAGGAATTGAGTCCCAAGCGACGATAACAACACAAGCTCAAAACGCAAAGACTCATGGGTAGATGCTTGTCTGTAAACAATGACACGCTATCTGACGCATGCACAGATGACAACTCTTCCGCTTTAATAAATATTACCAATGATATATAAGATTAGCGTTTGCTAGGATGTGATATGCAATGAAGATCTCATGTAAATTGAAAAATTCACTGGAATTGCGATATGATCACAATCCCTGCATTTCTAGAAATCCTAATGCAAATTCGTGTTCATCTCAGACCATTTTTGACTCGCTCATTTCAGTTTACACAATCAAACATTTCGAAGCACCCACTACATTCTGTGACACTATCGGTTAGAACTACAATTTAGATCTCTTTCGAACATGGCTAACGACGGCCAAGTAAATTTCTAATATTTTTTGAAATCTAACATTCCGGTTTGTGACGTAATTTCAATTTATGAATTTGCAGTATGTAATCACAATTTAGATTTTAGTTATGATTTTCAAAGTTATACCTGCGGTGGTAACATTTAGTTTTCAACAATAGGATTTTGAAATGAACAACGAAAATCAAAAACTTATTTTCAATTTGAGACGTTTCATTTTATTGAATTGCTAGAGGTCTTTTTTGGTCATTTGTACATTTTGTCAAAAACCAAAATGTTAGATTCAAAAAAATATTAGAAATTTACTTAGCCGTCATTAGCCACAAACCGTGAGAGTTAGCTTCTCAGGATATCTTCAATGCATATCACCATATATGGTTATATGAAAGTTACAAACACATATCATATAAATCTTTGATGTTACTGAGCAAACCATTTGACTTTTAGCCCTTACGTGACCTGGATGACCCCATGACAGCACATTAAAGTACAGTTGTTGCCAGGCAAAGTACATTTTAATTAATATGGTTTACTTGCACTGTAAGGGCCAAGAATAAAGAACAACAACACAGAAAACCATGGTAATATATTTTATCTGAAAGTCACAAGACTGGGTAATGTAGAAGATGAATGGAAGAAGACATAACAGCGTGTTGATATAGTGATGACCTATGACCTCTACCTTGGATCATAAGTGGGGTCAGCTTCCCCATACCCTCTGTACAGGAAGATAGGGTGAGAATGCAAAGCTGTTTGAGGAGTCATTTTCTCTAAGTCTTTGATATTTTTCATAATAGTAACGCATCCATGCCAGTACAATGGAATCGGTAACGACGGATTGGTGACGATCCATTCATCAGATTCCGGATGATAGCATTCAACAGTCTTGGAAGATTTGTCAGACACGGAATCACCGCCAGTGAGAAATATTTTTCCTGAAAGCAAATGTTCGGAGGTCAGTAAAGTTGTTTTGTGCTACGTAGATCAACATATCAGTGATAAACCCTTGTCAAATAACAAAGAAACGCATGATTAGAGGGAATTCCTTGTTTGCTATGTTTCATCTGGCCAACAACTATTTGACTTTACTATGGTTAGGATTTTACTGATCCTCAGAACGTTGCATTTGAATATATTTGCATATCTAATAATATAAAACCAACCATTAATGCTGGACATTATTGGGGAGGTCTGCAGAGGTGTGTTGCTACTTTGTATTCTTAAGACTTGCAATCAATAGGAAAGTGTCACATTTTGGCCTTCTACTGTGGAATACTTTATTTTCGCTGGAATTAATTTTCGCTGAAAAGGCTTTTTGGGTGATTTGTATGGGATTTATTTTCACTGATTTTTGATGAGTTTAATGTCAAATATAGGAAAAAAAGTATATTGGCTGGATTTTATTATCATGGAATCATCCTTCAGCGAAAATAGCAAAAATAAATTCCAAGCGAAAATAAAGTATTCTACAGTATTTTTGAAATTGAGCTGCCAACTCCAGAATTTGGCAAAATCCCTGAGCTGGAAGTTCTTATAAATCATATTGATTCCTGGCTCAAGGGAGGGGCACATCCTTGTGGAAGGGAGGGGGTGGGTCTCTCACCATCAATTGCTACTGCTCCAGGACACAGATGCATCTCTTTCGTCATGGCAACTTCCAATGCTTTATCAGCATTAGGATCATACACGTACGTCTTTCGAGATGAACCACCAACTACATATATCATGTCATTCAGTAAAACACTCTGGTATCCTAGCAACAAGGTAGACCAAATCATTGATTAATATTATCAATTTCACATTTCGATATAGCATATTGTACAATACCATAATTGCTCTACACTGGGAGAGCAAATACTGGATCATTAAAATATGACTTATTTTGACCACTGACACACCTCTGTCATTTACTACTAGTAAATACAGTACATGTAAAATATGTATGTGATTGATTATGACTTTGGCACCATAAATTAGATGAATGCCCCCTGCAAGAATGTGGGAGCCCGTTGTAAGAACAGAATAAGAATGGAAAGGCCCTTAATTCTCTCCCATTGTAAGAGTGGAAGTCTCATATTCTCTCTTTTTGCCAGAATGAAACTTGTAAGAATGGACAAGTTCCCAGTTTTCTTCTTTTATTAGAATGGAATAAAAGTGTCCCCCTTATAAAAATGGAATAATCCCATAATCTCTCCCTTTGCAGGAATGGAACAGCTACAAATCCCCCCTCCCCCTCCTTTGTAAGAATGGACAAGTCCCAAATTATCTTCTTTTGTGGAACAGCCCAAAAGTTCCCCTTGTAATAAAGGAACAGTCCCATATTCTCCTCCTTTGCAAGAATGGAACAGCCCCAAAGTCCCCCTTGTATGAATGAAACTGTCCCAAATACTCCCCTTTTATAATGAAACAGACCATAGATTCTAGAAGAATGAAACAGTCCTCACCTTTCTTATCGATTTTCAAAGTTGATATCGTAGACCACAACCTGGTATCTACATTGTAACACTGAGTGAATGGACAACAAAGCGTACTGTTGTCTTGCACTCCACCAATCACAAAAAGGCTTCTATGAAACGCTGTCACTGATGGGCATGAAACAGCTTCTCTCATTGGTTGAATCAGTGTCCATCTGTTGCTTTCAGTACTGTAGTATTCCACGTCTGGCAGGGAATGTTGACCGTCATATCCGCCAACCACAAATATCTTTCCATCAAGGGTTGTTGAAGCATGCTGGTACCTGCGTAAAATGAGAAAATGTTGAAGTGCCAGCAAAATAAAGCACATAGACCATATCGCAAATCATAGTAAATTATAGCATAGTTTAGACTGAATCAAACACAACTTCATCAATCACAAAGCATGTCTGCATGTGCAACTTGATACAACTATCCCATGATGCACTGTAATCTGGAATTGCATTATGGTCTATGCCTAGATAATGTTCTTGAACTCGCTCAGATTTTTAAAGGCATTGCGGATACATAACAATGGAACAATAATAAGGACATTAATTTGTAACAATAGCCATCATCAGCATAATAATTACGATACATCTACTGTTTTCTTAAAAGTTTCAGCATAGCAACCAACCAACATGTTCAAAGATACCAGGGAAGAACACTGTTAGATGTAAGAAGTTAACATTTTAAACCGATGCTACTCTTTATAACAGACTTTATATAAAAAATTCACCCTGTAATCCATTATTAATGTTTTGAGTAGGAATTTTGTGAGACTGCGAAACTTCATAAATTTGTGGAATTTTGTTTTCACAAATGCTCTGTTATTAAAATGCAAAAGTTTAAGTGATTGTGCCAGACTACCATAATTACAGAAGTTTTTGATTTTATTTAAGATCCACATGAATTCTCGTGGACAACTGTAAACAGCATTTATTTAGTGGAGTAACCGTGGGTAGAACAATCGCAGCTCTGAATAGAATGCTCATTTTGCTACAAGTTGCAGTTCGAAAACAATGTAGTATGACACAAATTGAGGAATAAATTGAAAATTCAAGAAAGGTCATTCATAAATGCAAGGATGTGTGACTTTTAGGGTCATGAATAAGTGCCAGGATGTGTGACCTTTGGGGTCATGAATAAGTGCCAGGATGTGTGACATTTGGGGTCATGAATAAGTGCCAGGATGTGTGACCTTTGGGGTCATGAATAAGTGCCAGGATGTGTGACCTTTGGGGTCATGCATAAGGCCTATACATCATTGTGTCGTCACAGACCTGTGTCATATGATGCCTTACTAGCCAATTTTGGCTAAAATAGCTCTCCGCTGCCTCTTTACACTAGTGTTTATACACAGAACTTGATATTTCTTTTTACAATTTAAGTTGCTTTTTAACCTTGTATTTTAGTGAAATATTGTTTAGGGAGTGGAATATTAATGTCATACATAATTCAATCTTTCAAACAACAGAAACTAACACATAATAACGATAATCAAATTTGTGTTTGAAGTTCGAAAGTACTTGCATAATTTCCAGTTTCAAAAATAGAACGTCCTTAAACGCGATAAAATCACGCGTGAAACGTCTTCCGAACCAGACACTAGATGCATAAACTTTATCATTCCATGCCTTTTATTTATCATGATTTAGTAAACAGGCCCCTCAAACGATTTAATATGTCCGTAAAATACGTGCCAACGGACGATTGACTTTGAAACGTTCGATGTTTCAAACAAACTCCCGGCACAACTTGCGCGATATGCATCAGATCGGTGTAGAAAGACGCCGTCCTGCAGAGTCAAGGGTCTATACATACCTGGCTTTCTTCAAAGATTTGCATCCATCCCATGATCCCTCAGTTGTCCTGTAAATCCACACCTGTGCTATGGGACCGCCTCGATGGCCATCGTATCCCCCGGTAACAAAGATGTCATTCCTATAAGCCAGTACACTGTACATAGCCACATTGGCAAGAGAGTACGGTAAATCACAGAGGTTACTCCAAAACTGTTGTTTAGGCTCATAGCAATACATATTTAAGCTGAAAAGTAAATATAACAATAAAATGAATAAATATGACTAAGTCAACACAATTTTCTGAAAATATTTGCATAGATATGAAGTCGTAAACTGTCAGCTATAACCTTCAAAGCGAGAAAATAACATCCTAGTTTTATTTTTTATATTCTTTTTTAAAACATATTTTCAATTTTTGTTTTTACATGTATTTGTTTTATGGATACTGTAAACTAATCAGTGACTGACCTTTTCAACCGTTATTCGAAATTGAAACATTCAAAAATATTTCATATAAAAATACCATTCAGGAAATTCATTATATATCTCTAACTGTATTTAATAATACTAGAATGGGAAGCTCTTAAAAAAAAATAATAAAAAATATTAAATGTGTTGAGATTGTTTGTACCTTTGTTTATTATTCCGCTGTGATTCCCGAGCACCACCAACAACAACCATCACGTTCACAATCCCTGTGGAAGGTCTAGGTCGGCTCCATTCACTCGGACCTTCTCGCGTTCCTCTCCTGCATTCCTGGCATTCTGCCAACAATTCCATACACTCCTCAGATTTACGGAGTAACGATTCAATTTCATCTTGTACTCGATTCTTGAAAAACTCGTCACTCAGTAGAGGCATACGAACATTCCTCATAACCCTGCAAAGCTGCGGCAGTCTTTCCACAACGTCTGCCATCACCCACTGCATGATCACCTTGTACACGTCCTCCTCGCTTCGTACATATAATTCATCTTTCGACGTGTACCCGACCAAGGTATCAGCAGAAAGTTCGAAAAATTCTTCTTGATTGGTTATTCGCGAAAAGTTGTTCAGTATGAATAGGTTGGCGGCTTCCACTAACCCGATACACATGTGCCGCTCAGCGAGTTGGTGTATACCCAAGCAGTTTGAAACGTCTAACTGAGATTTTAAAAAATCGCTACAAGCGTGTACTACTTTCTTGTGCTGTAAAAAGTCAGCCGTTTCAAGAACATCTTGTGCATTCCTGGACGTAAAAACAATTTTTCCCGTGTAGGAAAAATCTAGTAAAAGTTCCATGCAGTCTGCTTGCACATTGTACAAAGTGACACGTTCCTCATGCCGCTCTCGTAAGTCAGATGAGAACATCGCTCTGAAGTACGGGCTACTCGCCGCAAGCACCGCTCGGTGACAAGGAAATTCACGGTCACCAACAACTAGGATCATATCGGTCAGGTCATTCGTGAGCCTCATGTTATTTAAAAGTGTTACTAACTCCGACGGAAAGTTCGTGTCATGATGTTCATAAGTGACTTCATCTTCAACATCATCAGTATCACTCTGTCCAGCTTTGTTAATATCGCAGCCTCCTGTTGCCATGGTTACTTCACAACTAGTCTTTTTCTCAACACCTGATGAAGGCAACAAGATACAATATGGCAGTACACAAGGTTAGATAACTAAACAACACATTTTATTAAAGGGTGGTAGTCTTTGTGCCAAGCATGCACAAAATATGGACTGTGCAATTTGGACTGTCGCACACACCAACTAGTACAAACTGAGAGGTTTAATTAGGTTTGGGGGGGGGGGGATTTGGAAGCGTCGCCGAAGATAATTAGTACAAAAGACGCCTAGGTCAAAACTCATACTTGTGATTTCATTGGAAACACGCATTGGATTATGGGAAAATCAATGTTTATCAACACAAATGTCGCACATGTGCAGCGCAATGACGACTGCCCTTTAGGTAGCATGGTTTCATATGTAGATGTATTTCAATTGATTTCTAATCTTGTGTATTTTAACAACAAAAAAACAACTCAGAAACAGATACACGTGCAATCACATTCGTTTTGATTGCAGTAGGTAAGATCGCGGTCTTATCACCCCAGACTCAAAACAGGTGTACACATCATATTACAACTCCAATGAACACCAAGTCAATTTCAAATTTTTTTTTTGTCTATCATGCAATTGTTAAATATCCAAGATTACTACCACCGCATATAACGTTTGAGCGACATAGCAGTGCGTTCCAATCAGTTAAAGCAATGTTGCTTTCAGACAAGCATTAAATTATAACACCCTATATGTAAGTTCTTTCCATCAAAGTCGGGCACATCAAGAAAGATTCCATTATGTTAAGGGGTAATTTAAACCACTATAGCCTTTTAAATATTGTTTATAATGAACAGTATGCCATATTTGGGTTTTTTGTTATACAATAAAAGTAATATTTTATTTTTTGCTATATATCTTATTATTCTGACATTTCTACAAACTGATTTCCCCATACATACAGTGCAAATAAGTCTCATAGTAAAGTTAGGTAACACTCGGTGGGTAAACAACTCTCAAAAGGAGAGAGACACAATAAGTTTTCAGCCTGCCCTGGGAGCTGGCATATCTGTGAAAGAGATAACATATGTAGTTCATATCTCAAAGACAATTTTCTGGTATGTAATTATTGATGCACTAGTGAACATTGTCAATGCCACAGTCATATTACTGGACACTTGGACAATGTGAAGTCTCTAGCAAATTTGCTCACTAACACGCTGCATTGGTTTGAACGGTATGTACAACAGTAGTAATACTAAGACAACTAATACTGTGAAGGAGTTACAGCAATTATTCACTGGGTTTTTATTTTGCTTATTTCGCTGACTGGAAAATGCGCTAAATTAAAACCCAGTGAATATGTGAAATTTAGCATAGAACACATTATGTAAATGATAAAACTGTGAATGAATATGCCTGAAATGGTAAATCAGTGAAATTTAAAACCCACTGAATATGCCTGAAATGGTAAATCATAGTTATTTTACAGTAGTTTGTTGTCTGGGACACAATGAACTAACGATATCTGTTTCTTTTGCTGAAGTCTAGCCGCGCTTTAATATCTATTATGGAATGGAGAGATCAGGTCCCGATACAAGCAATGGCGTAATTCCAAATAATCCACATTATAGATTTGAATTGTGATTATAGATCTAACAGAAACAAGCAACAAAGTCATTCCCTTCATCTTTATATTATAAATATTTATAAATTTCAATTGCAGTTGAATCAAACCAGCTAATCAAAGAGCACAGCGCGCATCGACTTTCAAATGTTCAAAAATTTCAAATGTTATTTAATCAGCCAATAGAAACCTTTCGTTTTAGTTTGATTTATTGAAATTATTATAAGTATTTATAAAGATGAAGGCAATATGTCTTTGTTGCGCCGAGAATAAGGTTGTCGTAGTTTCACAGCGTGGATGAACGAATTTATTGGTGTATCATATGCTTATATTACACATAGACCCTCAACAGACTATACATTGTTTTTAATCGCCTGGGCCTTCAAAATATTTGACGGAATTCGAGACTTCAGCAACCAGTCACACAATATAGACCGTCAGGTCCCCGGTCAGCTCCCCGGCTCTGTCGTGTGATGAATACGCCAATGGCACTCACGAATTTGACGGGAATGCTTGCCTACATCAAGATCCACATATAATTGCGTTAATACAGTAACTAACGCACGTTTACTCTATATAGAATGTAGGTGAAGCGCAACTTACCTTAGTCAAACATAATAAGACAGAAATAGGAAAACTTGACTCACAAGTCGATCGGCGGCCATGAATCTTCGTGTCAACAGTCGTGTTGCTGTTGCTCACAACCTTTGACACGCAACGCCCTCAACGATCAGCGATATAATTTACATTGTTTACAGGCATCTCTGCAATACTCATCATACGTATTATTATTATAGTACAAAATATTGAATCGACTCAAACAAAACAAAATAGCCAAAACAACCCAATCGACCCGCAAACAATACAAAATTTAATTAGTAAAACGACGAATTAAATCAATAAAAAAGTACTGCACTAAAAAATATTAATAATATCAAAATATTATGATGATATCAATACAACATTCACGCCAAACAACATTCTTAGTAAAAAATACATTTTTAAAACAATTACACGACTTACGTTTGTTAATGACGTTTGTTAACATGATGAAAAAATTGTTGAGTGTTCACTGGAATTAGCACTATTTTTTGTCATTTTTAACATCCTCATTTTCATGATTTTTCATATTTATAGTAAGACTGGGCTTACAAGCAGCGCCCTCACTAAGCTTATAGAATAATTAACGCTTGATCCACGGCCAAAGTAACTGATTTGTGAATAAATACTTATGGGATCATGTGATTGATTGATTGATTTTTGAGTGGTTTGAGTCACAGTTGGATTGTTTGTAGATCGGTTAGGGCGTTTGTGATGTATTTAGGTCGTTTCAATATATACAACAGGCCATTGTTTACTGGTCAAATGGAAACAAGGTGGCGCCACCTCCAAACAATAAATCAAAGTACACACCTGACTTGAGGGAAGCCCAATCATTATTCGTTGATTTTCTCCTATTTCAGTGCAATCACACACTTAAAGCAGATCAATGAGTTACCCCCCCCCCCAAGGAAAATTGATGCCTTTCAACACCAAATTGTCAACATTTTTTTTCTATAATTTCTTTGCTCATTTTGGACAAATGAACATTATTTCACGAGCAAGTCTTGATCAATTGTTTTAGAACAAGTTACACGGGTATAATTGGTTCATGCAGGCCATAAAAATCGACACACAATCAGCACAGTACCACATACTGTAAAATACTTTATTTTCGCTTGCAATTAATCTTCTATTTTCACTGAAGAAATGATTAAGTGAAAATAAAATGCAGCTAATATACCTTTTTTTTCCCTATATTTCACATTCAACTCGTCAAACATAGTTGAACTCTGGTGACCTTGCCCTTTGTTATATACCGGTAATACTATTCCTTTTATCATAGTGTAAACTGAGAACAGACTTCTCAAGGTAGAGTAAACCAAGCGAGTATTGGTCACCAAATCCGGGAGAATAACACACAGAAGAGGAGCACTTGTAGCCAAGGTGTTTATTGCTCAACTGCTAGGCCTGGAACTGAATCTAAATACTCACAAGATGTTCCATACAATGTATCAATATCATTATGCAAATAATTAAACTAAAGTCATAGCCTCAAATCATTACACATAGTTTGTTTCAATATGAATATGCATTGCCATAATTAATTTTGAACACAAACTAGTTTTAGGATTGAAATGGCAGTGGGAAAGCAGTCTACCAAATGTTCTTGAGTGATGTAAATATCTTACTAACACATTGGTGCCTAATTTGTTTAATTATTTTAAGGGACATAATTTCCAGCTTTATTCAAAGTAATTCCGATATTTTTCTATAAAAACCAATGTCTTATCTCAGAAAAAAAGTGCTGCATTTAGACATGCAAGATAGCAGAAAATCTTAGCTGGTTTTTGCCCAGGTATTTTGTCCGGTATCTGTCAAAAATTAATGATTATTATATTCATTGTGTGACTACTGTAATATTTAAAAATGAATTAATTCCAGCTGAAATAAAGTATTTTACAGTATACAAAATAAATACCACAAGAGTGTAAATATAAAGCGACTTGGGACGTGAACAAAATTAAACATTACAATATACAAGCTATTTTTTTTTTATTATTGAATTGTGTCCACCACAAAAAAAAAATTACATCTCCATTTTTAAAATACATACCAACACAAGTTGAGTCTTGTAATAGAATACAACCACTGAATATCGAAAATTTCACTGTTCTCAGAAAACGAGATTGTTGCAAGATGTGATAAATGCATCTTCAAAGGGGCGATAATATAAAACAGGAAATTGTTTCGATCAACATAACATATCAATAGCCAACTATGGTTTAAAGCTATAGATCAGACCATTTTGTCATAAATATGACGAACGTGAATAGATAGACGAATATCGTAATATAAACAATTTCATAAAAGCAGATTTTGCAATCAACGTCGCCCTGGCAAGCGATCGCTACAAATAAAGGATTGTTGACTCATATTCACTCTATGCAGTGTTTTCGATATACAGCTGCATAGAATCAATGAGGAGTTCCACTTGCTTACAATACTCCACTAATGCCAGGAATATATCTATGCATATTCAGATTTATGCAATTGCCACGCACTATGGGATGTTATAAAAATCTTGTGAAATAAAATATTTCCAATTTAAATGCTGTGCATGAGAAATTCTCCATAATCCCAGTCTGGTGGGGAATTCTCTACGATCACAAAATCTCATGATATTACTAGCATTGTACCTAGGCATTAGTGGAGTAGGTAGTTGTACACAGTTGAAATAAAAGCAATTGTAATTACAAGACCTAACTCATCTACAAGTTGAAAACAACAGTGAAGGAAAACTGGTTGGAACGAGAAATGTTTTAAAATGGCTAGTAATAAATAACGTCACTGCTTCTAGAAACAAATGAACGCACAATAAAAGTATTCGTAAATACTCCATTACTGGATACAGGCACTTTGTCGTAGAGTGCCACATATCAGAAAAAAATGTTTTAAATTGTGCAATTTGAATTCAGCATTAATTTTATCTTTGTAGTGTACGATTTTGGCACAAATTCCACTTAAGAAAACGGCACTTTGAGATGATAATTTCTACAAGCTGGATTGAAAGCAGCGGGGAAAAAAATTGTCAAAATCAAACCATAGGCTACATGGTTTCTAGTCAATCTACAAAAATTAAATTATTTTATTGCGATTTTTAGTAAATAATTCAAATTTTGTACATGCAAATAATTTATGAAATTCTGAAATATAAGTAGTAAATAAAAATGAGACCAGTTTTCGTTCACCACAGTCTTCAGCAAAGAGTTCCCCACCACATTTGCATAAAATTAAGTTACAATTTGGTATCCGTAATTTTTTCGCAATTTTCTTTGATTCCCAACATAAATGAACATTAATGAAACACCCCCATAATAAATGTCAGACCTCTCTAAGTACCCTATTTACACAAGCCGACACCCCTTCAAAATAATAGGATTGTCCAAATCTACATTTGAAAGTTAAATGTATTGGACAAACCACTTCTCAACAGAGGGAAGGAGGCTATTACACATGGGAGAGAGGAGCAAAATACAATTGGGAGTGCAAATACAATGATTAGTTTCACTTGTTCTAAGAATGAAAAGTTAAATTACAAAAGACCCTAATTTAAAAAAAAAAAAAATTACCAAAGAAACAAGTAATATTGGTTGTAACTACAAATTAAAGAATTATTCAGACAAGAACCTCTATTTGTTTTGCTAAGATCACTTTAGTCGGTTTAATGAATGATGGCCTAATTTAAATAATTTATGTTTGATTAGAATTAGAATGGTTGAATTTTTCAGTTGTGATTACCTTAATTTTTCTGATTACCTTAATTTTTACATATTTATCAACATAAGATATACTAGTATTCAATCTATGATATTACAACAAGTAAAATCAATGCTTGAATGTTTCAAATTATCCAGATTGAGTGAATCAACCAACAGACTACAAAACAAAAGTTCCCAACAATATGCCACTGAGGGCAGACATCACTGATGAAGTTAATTTCTTGGTGTACAGATTAGATTAGCAAATGTACATCAAACTAAAATAGTACTTCGAAAGAAAATTGAAAATTGAATTGCATTGTAAACTGTAACAAAACAGACCAATGACAGTGGACCATTTTGCAATGCACAATGTTTTACGTGCAAGTGATGTAACATTGTTTTGGTGTGGAAGAATTTTTCGATAGTTTGAAATAGACAGTACAACATCAGGAAAGTTGCACTTTAAATACTGCAGATAACTTTACTTTAATTGTTGGTAAGGTGTTTGCAATTAATTCGAATTCAGCTTGTCCACATACCAAACAAGCGACTACGCTGACTTCAGATTTTGTCTGCCAATTTTTAAACGTAGGTTTTAAAAACCAATACAACTGGGCAACTATTATCACAAGCTAGATTCTATCTTTTATATCGCATTTAACCAGAACTAAAGGCACTTAAATGTTTACCCATGCAGCAATGCAAACCCCAAAAGAAATGACAGCAATTTGAAACATGAATTTAAAATAGCTGCACACAAAGCCAACATACGGCCACGATTTAATGCTGGCTCAGTCAGTCAAAGGTTGCTTTGGGGCTGCTGTAAATCACTAAAACTGATGCATGTGAAATGTAAGTTTACTGTTTATGTCCATTTTTAGTCTGTGTTTCCTGCACGCTTCTTGGATTTAACTTTGGCCCCATAAATTGAACGACTTCTGTTTCCCGTGCAAAAAGTTTTAATGATCAACAGCCCCTCACACTAAGCAGCAAACCTTGTTTTTGATTTTTTGTTTTTTGTTGAAAAACAAATTATTTTAGGTAGACCACCACCCATGGAGATAAACTAAAATTGATCACATGATGGCGCCCTTCAAATACGCTGATAAATAACTCTTTTCAAATTCAACAAAAATCCAAAGGTTCTTCAGAAAAAGAAAAAAAAATAGTCCAGCTGTTAAATTAGGAAGGCTTGACTTCCAGAAAATAAAAATCTAAAAAGCCTATCTGGTATAAACTTGTAAATGGGTATGCCCTGTCAACCAATATACTGTATGGGAGGTGGGTTGTTCCATTATGTGTAGGGGTGGGCAGCATCAAATATACCGACTGGACTGTCTTTGCACACCAATTGACAAGACCTGTACATTTCAATTCCTGTAGTAATACACAGTATACGATAATTGTTTCTCTTCTTTGTAGCTTTGTGAAGACAAAACTAAAAATTAAGTCAATACCGCTCACATTTTCAAATTTTAAACTTAAAAATGTCATGTTAAGTGGTCCTGTTTTATATACATATTATATAGCTCATCCGAGGGCAGTAGTTTTTGACAAAGAGCACACACTGCCATATATATATACAAATACAATACATGTGTTACTGTTTCAGTGTGTTGTTTTAGAGTGCCAAAAAACACATCCGAGACATATTGTCTTTTTCAAGTCGTATACCTCCGAATCAATCAGCCAGCCAGCATGCAAAATACCCATTTACAAGATCAATACATCTGGACGAATGGTTAAAACTACAATCAAAGTCTGTGTTCTTTGCTAATCAATCTTGACAGCGGCGTAAATCTTTCTAATGAACGTATAGGCAGCGAAGAATCCGATGGTGCCGGTTAGAATCCAGAAGGTCAAAACCATTAGGAATGTATATCCAAAATACAACAAACTTGGAATGAAGTCGGTAATCTCCAACTGAAAAAGATAGCGAGATCAATCTTATCAATAGTAAAAGAAAACAACACAATTTACTATTAAGTAGAAAGCTTGTTCAAACGTTTAAATTTTCCCTTATTTGGTCACATACATTGGCACATTCAAGATTATTGTTGTCATATTCAAACACTTTCTCATGTTTATATCGGATGCAGAACTGTTCATGCATTATCTTTCATTAAATCAGGAACAAGCAGCCTGTTGGTGATATAGACAGTTGAAAATAACAATTTTTACCAAAAATGACAACAAATATTCATTAAAATCAGAGATTTGAAGATATCTGCACAAAATGAAAAAATCTGAGTGGTTTGACCAAGGTACATATATATATATACAAGTATCAAAGCAAAGCAAAAAAAATAGACGCAGGACAATCAGTAAAATAAACAGCCCCACTCGGTCGAATACGTTAACAGCAGAGTTAAACAGATGTATATTAAAAAGGTCAGGGATTTTTTTAAACAAGGGAACAGGGACGCAGCGCCCTCATGCCATGGCCATGCGCCCCCTTACCCTGGGGAGCAGATCCTTTGGCAACCATAAATTTCTGATTGACAGGAGGGAACACATGTGGCCAGTCTTCAACTGTTACCTGTCTGATAGTTATTGTGGCCCCAAAGAAGCCATAGAATGCTCCATTTTATCAAAAACTCCACACCCTGGTAGGGAGAACCCTACCCCCCCCCCCCAACTTGGTGGCACCGCTGAATTGCAGTACTCCTTCTGGCAGTTTTTTTCAAGAAAAACCTCTGTAAGGTTATCAAGAGTACACTGCAAATTTTGCAGAAAGCCAGAACGAGACTGCAACAAGCTCCAAACAAAACAATCGTCATACTTCTTCCGTGCATACTATGCATCATTTTTTTTATAACATTTATTATACACATAGAAAACAATAGCATTCAACTGTCCATAAAACAGGGCAAATGAAACAAAATATGAGATTTCACTTACCTTTGTTACAAAATAGAAAACAGCATAAAGAAACACGTAGAAAGCTGATCCTCCTGACACTATGAAAGAGCGCCACCACCAATGGTAGTCCTACATGAAAAGATCAGACAAAATTATGCATTGTCATGGCAATCACAAATTTCCTTTAGGGTAGAATGCCTGAATACAATAAACCGTTCAATTTTTGTTTCAAAAATTTGAAATTCCCCGATTTGATGACTTATGGAATATGCACAGAAACCCAGAAAAAATTTGGAGTGGTTTACGGGATTGAAAGTCTCACCTGGGCAGAGAAAAATTAAGTTGATTTAAAGCATAGACACATGGCAAAATTTGATACCTCAGAAAAACAAAACAAGCTGCTCTCTGATTGGTCCGACTGTTACATGTTTGGTAGCCAATCAGATACAATCTTGTATGTAGCTTTGTATTGACTCAAAAAATTAAAAATTCAAAGTCTCAGATATGGATACAAATAAAAATTACATTATTACTTTAAAAACTGTTGACATTTTTTTAAAAATTTACTCGAGTATCATTGTGCTCACAAGAATGATAGACACATAGTATCCAGTACATTTCACTTCAAAACAAAATCAAAACTTTCTCTAAAAGTTACTATGCACAGCATATTTTAGTTGTGTCCGGTTCCAACTTAAATCTTATATGAAGGAATGTAAATACTTACCTCTCCACACAATTGAAAGTAAACCATCACTATGGCAATTTGTGAACAGGAAATTACTAAAATAACAAATACTAAGAAGAGGAAACCAAACAAATAATAGAACTGGTTCTCCCAGATAGCCTGAATGAGGGGGGAAAAAATAAGCAAAAAACAATTCAATACAGGAAAATCAGTTCTGGGCTGCCACTGCAGCAGTTATCAATAAAATCGATTTTAATATGAGTAGTTAATTACTAAGATATATACTCAAGATTTAAGATCATAATCTGATAGAATTATAGTGAAGAAACCGAAAATGATTTGTGTGTTGAATGTAAAATCAAGCTCCAAAGGTTTACACTGCCATGTTTCACAGGCATAAAAAGGTCTGACAAATTTAAGTAAAAAATATGCAAATGTTAGTAATATGCAAATCTATGTTAATGATACGAGAAATATGCAAATGTTAGTAATAATATGCAAATCTATGTTAATGATACGAGAAATATGCAAATGTTACTAATAATATGCAAATCTATGTTAATGATACGAGAAATATGCAAATGTTACTAATAATATGCAAATCTATGTTAATGATACGAGAAATATGCAAATGTTAGTATATATAGTAAATTTCAAATACTCACAGTAAGAATAAAGAACAACTCTATGAACACAGCACCAAATGGCAAGATACCAGCCATTAATGTACTACAGGGAATAAAAAAAAAAAACAGTAAAACAGTGTTTAGATACAGCAATTTCAAACAAACAAAATGGCAGCTCATCACTTCTTGGTGAACCAAGTAACAAAAAAACTCCTAATCAGAAAGTGGGGTCAAATCCCACCAGTAGTAAGAAGTCTTTATCTGAAGGCTAAGGCTGAAAATGACATTCCTGAAAAGCTCCATTCAACTACCAAATACATTGCTGTCAAATTAAAATTACTATTATCTCTACAACATGTCATGAATATAAGTGCGAACACACAGTCACACATAGGTATGAATATACAAGTCCACGAAAACCAGACTTAAAGCGCGTTGGTTGTCGTGAAGTGTCCTATTCAATATGGAACTCATAGCCTGTAAAATACATTGTTTATTTACATGATATTCAAACACTCGCTGCACGACGACCAACGCGCTTTAAAGATATCTTGCAGTGCATGTTCGAATTTTGTGTAAATAATATTTTCCACACGCTGTACTACCGTAAACCACCTAATTTTCGAAGCTAGAAATTTTCTTGATATCATGGCATTTGATACAACAAAATTCTGGAAGAGGTTGCAAAATTAAAGCAGTTTACAATACATTGCAAGGAACACCAAACATAATATGGGACAACAACTGAGACACTATAATGAAACACCACAAGCAGGGTCAAATATTAACCTGGGTACTCAAAGTATAAAATTGATGTTTATAATAGCTTACCTGAGAATTGGGTTCATGTACCAAATCTGTTCTGGTACTTGTCTTGGAATTTGGTTAGTCCTGACAGGATGGTCATATGGCTGAAATGTAATGCACGTTTGTAAGTTTACAGTTAATACATTACCTCTGCAACTTAAAATTTTACACTTTGAATAGAATAGCATACAACTCAAGTGCTTTGCTTACACACGTCAACAACTCACCTGTTTTCGGAATCCAAAGAAATAACCGAAGTAGACAAGTGGTACAGAGATTCCAAACCACATACAGAGGAGGGCAATCATTGTGGTGAATGGTACAGCGCCAGACGAACGTTTTCCCCAGATAAAGAAGTTTAAGAAGAAACCTACGCCAAACACAATGCCAGGATACAGAGTTGCAGTCTGAAATAAAAAAAATCAACACATTAATAAGTTCTAACGTTTCACACTGAATGCTTCAACAAGATTAGTTTATGTTTGTCAGTAGTATTTTAATTAATGAAGACATATTTAATGT